CAAGATTTTAACCCATAAACTCTGGGTCTCAAGGCAAACAACATTATCCTTACATTGACAAAAGAAACTATGCAAAAATAAGAATATCAATCAAGTAACAATTATTTACCATTCTGTGCAATTCTTGTGAGAATGTGTGACTTTGTATCCTCCTTCATAATCTGTAGTTACAGGCTTCCCGTCATAATAATGTACCATCGGTCCAGAAACCTGTATTAATTATGATATAAGTTCCAGCCCATTTATAATGATGACAAGATCAGGAGCAATCAAGTTTACCTCTGATTCTACTGATGAGAGACAGAAAACACACTGATACTTTTTCATATGGCTTCCACATTTCTGTAAAACTGGCTGATTCATCAAAGGACATTGGGTCTCTTTTGATGTATCATTCAAAGCTTTAACATCAGGAATTAGTTGAAGACTTGCATTAGGTTGGATTTCTCCATCATTTGTAGTCTTAATGATACCATCAGAGGAAAGTTTCAACTTTTTAGTACTCCCCAGTTCTCTATTGCAAGACATGGATTTTCTATAAGAGTTTCTTATGCTTTGCCTAGAGGCCTTTCCAATATCTTCCATCGCAGGAGTCAAAACCGATGATAGAGAAACAGCAAACTCATTGGTTTTGTTCTGCATTGGATATAATTCTTCAGCTAGGTCCTGCACATAATCCAGCTTTTGTCTTTCAGATCTTTTCCTCTTGCTCTTCCCAGCAACCTCCTGATGCTTCTCAATTTCTTCTTTATGTGATGAATTCTTTGCCATATCCATTTCACCATTACTCGGAACTAATGTATTGGAGGCTGTGCAAGCCGTTTGAGATATTTGATTTCTACGGGTTCTTCGATTAGTTTTCCCCAAATTAGCAGAATTGTGCTTATGGTCCAATGTTTTGTCCTGATTGTCTTCTAATGATATATATGTATCAACATCCATTCCATCAATTGGATCTCTTTGTTCCCTAGTCTTGCTTTGACTTGCTTTTCCCCTAGCTTTCCTATCTCTCTTTGTACACTTTTTCATCCCATTTTGACCATCCGAAGTTATAATTTGAGAAGCCACGGTTTGTGGTAACTTGTCATCCAATCCATTTCCTTCTTTGGAATTCTTAAATTTAATGTTGTCAGCAATTGTACAATTTTTTTCCAGCTCATGTGCCGATGCAACAAAATCCTCTTGATTTCTATCAATCTCACGAGTATCCTCAACCTGAAAATAGCATACAATTGTATTAAAACATCAATGATTAGGCGATATATAAGATCCTGAATTATGTACAAATAACCTGCTACTTTAATTATCTGTTTACCTGCATTTTGACAGGACTCGAAAATAATTCAGGAGAGCAAGGCCTTTGTGTCCATTCAAAAATCTCACTATCAGGTAAATTAACAGAAGCTTTTTTTTGCACCTCATCCTACATGGAAATAACGAGCAAAAATGTTAATATTTCAATAGAAATCTATACTGATATTATCATTATCATGCAGCTTGCACCATTAAAACTGCTTCAATCCATAACCAACCAAATTTGAAGTTCCAAAAATAAGTGTAGTTAGCAGTTAAGCCAAACTCTCAAGTTGAGAGACTTTGACAGTGTTTTTCTAAACATCCAAGTAGTCAATTAAGTAAAAAAAAAAGGTAAGATTTTAAAATTTAAATATAAGAGCTGATGTCAAATGGTTTTTTCTTCAGATCTAAAATGAATAACTACTCAAATGTAGTTAACAATTCCATTGTTTCTGACAAGTGATAACCTATAATGTTGATATAATGCATGTACTTACCGATGGAGATTTTTTAGAAGGGCTTTCATCATCATAGTCCTTCAAGTCACTGAATGAAGGAGGAGTTGGTGTTGCACAATCAATAAGTTGATCCCCATTAGAGTGCTGACTTATCTTTTCACCATCTTCCTCGTCTCTTAACCAAAAGAAAGGTGAAAGAACATGACTGTCCTTTTCATTTTGGTGAGACCTTTCATTTTGCAAGATCAAACCCTCTTCTGTTCCCACTTTATCAATTTCACTTAGAGAGTCTCCAAGCTTATAATTCTTTAATGGCGTTTCTGAAAGAGGATCCTGAGACACCTGAATCCTTTTCTTAGCTGGAAAGGATGGTTTTGCAATGTTAATACCTTTTGTGCTTGTCATTATCTTCTTCTTTGACTCCTTTTTTCTGAAGGAATTTTTATTTTGTGCACGACTCTTATGATTTTCACCAACATCCTTCATTTCACAAGCATCTTCATGTTGCTTTTCTTCATCTGTAAGATAATTGAGTGTTGATAGCGTATTAAAGGGTGGATAAAAGTGTATAAATCACACATTATAATAAGTTCCCTGAGTGTAAGCAAGGCAGGAATATAAAATTCTAAAGCTACATGAGCAAAATAAGGTAAAGAAAAAACAGCATGTAGTTAACAGATAACAAATAAGACCATGTTTGATTGTATTAATAACTACTTATAATAGCATACAACTAAACCTTAAAACTGGCTAGTTGAAAAAACACTGCACGAGTACAATACAATGGGAAATAGTCTTGGTAAAGGAGACCACTTGCAAGTTGCAATATGGATATTTATCAAATTAAAAGGTTCCATCACCTGATAATTTAGTAACGGGTACATTCTGAGTGACAAACATACTAATCCCAGCAGCATTTTCCATACTCTTGTAAATGCTGACCATGTTGTCCATGTGAGGAGCAGGGCGAACCTCTACCAAGAAGAAAATAAATATCATTCAATGCAAAATTAATAAAAGAGTAAATCCAACAACATATAATGCATAAAAAATTTGAACCCTCGCTTCACCTCAAAGCCAAACACCAAGACTTGTGGCTAAAAGGGTGGCAAGGTGCATGAAAATCCCACCAGATTTGAACTCATGACCTCGAAATCATAAGTCCATCAACCCTATCATTGCCATAAGGCTCAACCTCACCAAGACTAATAGCCAAAATTCAGGCATTGGTAATGATATGCATGAACATGATTATAAAGAAAATGATAAGTCCATTTCTATTCAAATTTACACAAAGAAAGCTAAGAAAATTTGAACATAAAGAAAATGCATGCTGCTCAATAAAAACAAGTTGCTCCCAAAACATATAATCATCTATGCAAAGTAATTGTGAGAATCAGTGTTTTAAATTACACTCCACAACCAGAATTCGCCTTTAAATTAGTTTAAGGTGAGTTCAACAATTAACATGCAATTCATTTCAATTTTTAACAAAGTCATTAAATGAATAGTTAAATTTGAAATCGAAGGTACTGTAAGCAAAATGGATGAGTAAGATACCTCTACGAGTGTAAGGTACTTTACAAACAGGACAATCGGAAGCTAATTTCATCGATTTGAGAATACATGAACTGAAATAAACAAATAAAAAAGAGATTAATAATAAGATTGAAAGAGCGAATATAAAGAATAGAAAAATGAAAAGAAAGAAAGAAAGAAAGAAAGAGGAAAATGAACGTACTGGCAGAATACATGGTTGCAGGTAAGTGAAACTGAAGAATTAAGCAAACTCCAACTGCAAAATGAAAATGATAAATAAAAAATTAATTGAATTGAATTGAATTAGAGAGAGAGAGAGAGAGAGAGATTGAACCAAATAGGACATTTGAGTTCTCTGCCCATTCTCTCGAGATGGAAAGTGGAAACGCCATCGCTCATCTTTGTAGTAAACACGCGCTGCGGTGCGATTTGGAGAAGATGAAGAATGAGTTATGAGTCGTGACTCGGAAGCTGGGTTTATATTTCTATTTTGAAATTTTTAAGAACCCGCTCTTTGGCGCCTAAATTTCGTCTCAACTTATGATGACTCCTTTCATTAGATCCTAATTAATAATGGAGAAGATATACACTTATTCTATATTTTAGACATCGATTTTAGAGAATATAATTGTTTAGATTTACTCACTAATTAAAGTTATTAAATATTTTCTTATGACTAATAGTTAAGATGAAGAGTAAGTTTTTTAAACTTATTTTGAAGTGAAGTAAGTAGATCTCATCCCATAATAATGTATTAATTATGTAATTAAATTACTTTATTTTAAACTAATAGTGAAAATATGATTGAAATTATTCATCTTATACCATAAATAATTTCTTCTATTTCATTCTTTATAGCCTTATCATGCATCTATTTTACATTCGTCAAAAATATAATTAATGATAGAAATATCAGTATCTATGCATGTTTGATCTTTTTTTAATCCTAGTGACTTGATTGCATTTAAGTGTCTAAAATTTTATTTTAGAAATTTGTTTAGTATAATATATCATGTTAATATCTGGATTATGGAATTAAAAAGGGTTGCATTAGAAATTGATGTATTTGAGTTCCTTTAATTTAAGAAGAAATCATTTTTTTGTGATTTCATATTTTTATTACATAGTGCATATCCTAGTTCGGGTCGAAAGTCAAAACCCAACAAATGAGGGTGGTAATCTTTTTTCAACTCAACTGCATTTAGGATCAAGTACGAGTTCAAGAGTTCAGGATTGGATAAGTAAAAACTAATCTCAATCAGCCTAATATGCAATTACCAAGTATAAACCAGCTATATTCTTATTTCTTAGTGAGAGTGGTCATTTGTACTTAAAAGGTGTGTGTGACCTTGTTTAGGATTATATATCTTCTGAGAGAAGAAAATAAAGGGTTTGAGATTTTTTTATTGCAATTTCACCTTTGTTATAAAATACTCAAAATAGTAACATATTACCAACAAAGAGTAGTATAATTATCAAGCAAAGCTAGACTCTGCTTATTAAGAAAAATTAACCCTCAAGTATCAACAGGGCAACCACCTATTATTCTTATTTTAAGTTTCATTTATTTGTTTATTCAATTTGTATTGATTGTGTAAAAGGAAAATATCACTTATAAATCAATCACTAATAAATAAAGTATCACTATGTGACATATGTCATTTTTTGTGGTATGAGGATTTAGTAGGAGAATCTGAAAAACTTCCTTACCTATTTTGTACCAGTAAAGACATAAAAATAGTAAAAGTTTTGTAATATCACTGCAATCAAATAGCACCACCGTAAAACAGTTCAGAAATTCACCAAAAAGAACAATAGTACAGAAATATAATAAAAATCCTAACAATGTTTCCAAGTTTCAACCAAATTCAATACAGCCACAAATCATAAACAGATAATTTATTCTTCAACACCTGCAATATAAAAGAACACATAAGAATTGTAGAAAACAAAGTTAGGCAATTCAAATGTGACATTGAAATAGGTAAGCATTTTGCAGGACAAAGTTTATGACCAACACTCTCCAATTTTAGTAGCTTTATAAAAGGTCAATTTATTCAACTATGACTTGTTATCACACTGTGACTCTTGCAGCAGTTTAAATGTCTTTTAACTCAAATTCATGTTTCAATTTGAATCAACTGAGAGCAAGTATTAAAATATCAATTACCAAAAAAACATGGAAAGATGGATTCTCAATATTGAAAATATTAATGTAACATTAAACATGAAATAGTTCAAGAGTGAAATCAAGTTTGCTTTACTTTTACCTGTTGTAACACATTCCATTTGTCCACCAGAGATACCTCTTAATGCATTTCCTACAACAGTAACAAAGAAAAGAGACCTTAGAACAAAATATTATAATGAATTCATGATGATCATAGCAGGTTTTGAAAGCATAAATTTTGCCCGGAGGACATAATCTGTTCTCGAATTTGTCTTTTGATCTTTCAGATGATGCAGCTAGAGCATTGAGTCAAAGGGACAGTAACATAATCATTAAGAAAACAATGTTGGTCTAGTGGTGTAAGACCCTGCTAGATCCTCAGGATGACCAAACGGTCAAGAGTTCGATTCCTAGAATGGACACTTGTTGGGAGGAGTGGCCACACACCCCGAAAGGGATTAGTTCCTTACCCATGCGTGAGAGATACTCTTGTTAGTACAAAAAAAAAATCATCAGTCATTCATATTTATATGGAAAATAAATAAATGAAGCACTCAATTAGAACATAACTAACTGCTGATGTAACTAAGGTCAATTTAAACTTTAAAGATCAATGCTTTGTTTGCTCTTCCAACTACCTTATCAACAACTTTTTCTTCTGGGTGAGAAAATTTGAAATTACAAGCGAGGAGCAGAAGAAGAATCAAATCACCAGAACAAAACAATATGACAGCTACAATTGTTTTCTCTCGCCTTGATTTGATTGTTTGTAAGGCTACCTTTATTCAAAAATATAAAAGGGAGGCTAAGGAATCCAAGTCAGACAAAAAAGAATCTCACTAAGAAACAATGGCCTCCATGTAGACATCAACATATGGATCAGGCATGAAGAGAAACAAAAGGAAATGACAATGAAGGACATGAAAGAAAGTGCGATAAAATTGGGATCGTAGTTTAAATCAAATTTATGGAGTTTATAAGGAAGGAGATTGTACCAAAGAGGGAACAAATTAATAAAACATGATAAGGTTTGGTGACATATTTGTTAATACTGCAGGATAACTTGAATTTAATAGATATTTTTACATGATGATATTAAAAGGAAACAGAGATAAAAAGGAGCCTGCATTCATTTCTGCTGCAATCACTGGTTAAATCTATCAGCAAGAATGCAATGTATGTGTCACGAAGTTTTATTCTAAAAAAATACAGTAAATGTATTTAATATCCCCCGAGAAATTTTAATGGTACAATGTGCGCACAACTTGGCTCTACATGAAAAAGGAGACAAGTACTACAACCATCAATCACCTATCCTTCTAATCAGTCAAGCATTTCTAGAAAAACATGACATACTCAAACAGCCAAATGATTCTACATTTCATCAGGAGTGTCAGGGCAAAAAAATTATTGCTTCCTAGACATATAATATAATCCAGTTAGTGCTTGTTGAAGTTCTAGGCTTAACTTATGTCTCACTTTCTATGTGAATTTGAATTGATATCAATTCATCTAGAGGAAAAAAATATGAAAAGCAAATATTAGATGAAATCTGCATTACAGACATCAAACTCTCATTGTGGATCTTACCCCTGCTGACCTTTAGATATAAGAGTTAATAAGTTATAATGCCAAAGAGCTTCATTTTTGTTATCTGGTTATCAGAAGCAAAAAAAGGAATTGAGTCACTAGATAAATATCTCAAAACCACAAAATTCGAAGTGAGTTTTAATGTCCTTAGTACATAATATAAATTATGACAACTGTAATCCATTCCAAATTGTCTCAGTATTCTGTCCCCTCTTATGATCAGGGACAATATAAGTTTTAAGGCATACTTGTGTGACTCTCTCCATTTCTTTCATATTTTCTTATTGGTGGTAAACAAAATTTGGATTTCCATTTGTTAATTATGAATGATTAATGAACTACAAATGTGTGGTTGCATCGAGAATGAACTCTTGTTTGGTAAATAACATGCTTATACTCTCCACCACTATTTTAAATAAAAACTTAGCAAGTGGTTAAGTGGTTTAAACTTTAAATAGAAGGAATTACATATGCCACAATACAAAGTATAAAGGAAAATACATCAATCAAACAACGATTGTGTCTTTGGCAAATTGCTGCTAGACTAACAAATAACAGTTTAGAACACAATTAAGGTAACAATTCCATGTAAAAAAAAACAAGGACCCTGATGTTTATTCCTAAGTGATGAACATCCAAAAAATTGGATATCATATTTTCAGACGTCAACATATGATATGTATAAAAAAAAGAAGGAATAATACTATTATAGGAGCTTACTTTCAACAAGGCAAAACCATGCTTGGAATGTATTCCATGGCATCGATCCAAAGTTGGAGGTTTGGAATTTCAATACGTTCAACTCTTTTATCTTTCCAATAATAGATAATTGCTTCAAAATCTGCATTGTTTGCTAGCACTACAGTGTCGCCATTCTCAGATGTCCACAAAGGTATAAGGATACGATATTCATAATTAAAGATTCGAAGATGTTGATAACTAATGTTGATGAGTTGAGTCCAAGAATTTTCAACTCCAAACTCCTTCATTTGCCATATGACAAAATGAGTTGCCCTGGAATAATAGAAAAGGCAAAGGCAATCCCACAGAAACTCAAGTTTTGGTTCAAAAGAGGGAACTTCATCAAGACCAGCAGGTAGCGACATTTGTTTGTATGTTTCCTTCTCCAAATCAAGCGAAAAAATCACTAATTGATTAACAGTTACAGCGCCCCAATCATAACGATAACCAGATTTGTGAAGTGCTAACCAATTAAGGGTTCCACTAAGAAATTTTCCATGAAGTTGGCATAGAAAAGGAAATGCAGGGAAACTTAGAATCTTTCTCCAACGATTATCACCCATGCTATGAACTTCCACAGCCGTGTTTTCTGAACCCAAAACAATTGCCGCCACCTTGTAAGTGTCACTTGAACTATCATAACCAAACCCATACCTAGCAGGAGCAAATTCATTATCGGACCAATTGAAATATAAAGATGGCGATTTTTTGGATCTTAATCTCAGAGCAGGGTTCCAAAAACGGACCTGGCATCCTACGACTTGATCATCAACAAAATGTCTTTTACGTAAACAGACCAATCCGTTGCAAGAACCTAAACACCAATAAGTGTCCTTTAGTCGGAAGCATACGTCACCAACATCTATGGACGATGCGTTCTCAAGTAAAGATTGTTTTGAGCAAGGTATAGCACAGAAGCAGAAGCCAGTTTCCCCGTAGTATTCAACGGGAGAGACGTCTGAGGTTAATATTAGGTTTGAACTTTTGGGTGCCCTGTGAAGATGTAACTTCACAAATTTGGGATCAGATATTAGGGAATTCCAAGATTTGGAAACACACCTGAATTGAAGAAGGAACTTGACCGGAAGCCATGAGAGGATTTCGATGACGAGTTCATCAAGGAGGATAGTTGAGAGCAGCGGCTGAGAATGATCAACAGTTTCCATGACAGCTGGTAGCGGGTTGAATCATCAATGCAATGCAAGCCAAGGGAATGAGGGAGCGACCAAACCCTCTGTGACAAAATGGATGATGATATGCGTTCTCAACTTTAAATAATGAATTAGTGCATTTTTCTTGTTGTTGAGGCCTTTTAAGTGGTTGACAAGTTGGAGAACTACAAGCCCAACAGCAAAATGCTTGAAAAAATGACCTAAGAGAAATTATGGATCCGGATTCACTTTACCGTGCAATTTAGTCGCTGATTTGTATAGATGATTTTTTATCCGGATGGATGATTTTAGATCCATCTATTGGCTAATGTTGCGCCACGTTATCGAATGTGGTCAACGCGTACAAATCCAACTATAGTGAATCAGGACCCAAAAGTTATTCAATGCCTTTATGTAAACAACCTTTCGACACTAGCATTATTGTCTGAGTTATGTTAAAACTCACATATATTTATATGAATATAACATTATATATATCCACAAATTATTTTTGTACTTTAAAGTTAGAATTTTCCATCAAACAATTTCACACAGATATACATACACTCAATTGTGAGCTTCAACACAACGTAAGCATGCTTGCCTTACCTGGAGTTCATGAGTTCAAATACGAGAAACAACTTCGCTTCGAGGTAAAGCTGCGTATGTATACTTTCACCGGACCCCACTAAGTCGGAGCCTTGTGCACTGGACCGTCCCTTATATATAAACTCACTAATGGTTAGATCAAATATGACCTTACCTATATCTCACAAATTCACTCCAACCAGTAGTTCCTTGCACCATTCCTCATGAAATGGATTTTAAACGTGTGCTACAGTATAATCATATTTACCAAAATAATTTCCTAAAAGACAATATAACCAAGATGCAATTAAATTAGAGTAAATTACACTCACACCCCCTGAGTTTTAATGAAATTACATAAATCACTCTTCTATTCTTTGTCCTTACACCAACCACTCCTCCCTCATACACAAGCTACCCCTAGATTTATACATACATTACACTAACTTACTACTAAATGTTATAAAAGTGTAATATTTTAAAGAAAAAACGTGTGATGAATGTAAGTTAAACAATATATTGTACATTGTGTAACACTTCAAATAGTACAAAAGTGAGTGTTTCTTTATTATTTTTGTGTCATTAAAAAATACATTATAAATCTCAAACAAATATTTAAATAACTCTTATACTATTTTATAACTAGTCAAATAATGAAGACGCACTAGCTCTTATATTATTTGAATTTGTCTACAAAAGTGAGTTTATATTATTTTAGTGTAACATATGTACAAAATTAGGGGCGGTTCGTGTAACGACAAAAAAGTGAGGGATGGTTTGTGTAATTTCACTAAAACTCATGGGGTGTGAGTGTAATTTACTCATTAAATTATTATAAGAATATAAAGGTAAGTGTGTGTTGTTATAGAAACATATAATTTGTAAGAATAAATGAAGAACAGTGATAAGCATTAAACCTAGAGAGAAAAAAGGAACCTGGATGATAATGACGAAGCGTTTAAGGAACCCAACGCTGCGATGAAAATGGCGAAGATCGGAGAAACCTTATTCCGGCGGCGATAATCGGCGGAGGAATCGAGCGGCAAGGAAGAGGCGTGGAAATATATTGGTGTTAGTTGAGAAAAGGGTGTAGATGGAGTATATCCAAATTAAATTGTAGTTTTCTGAAATTTAAATAAAACAAATATATATTATTTTAGAAAAGTGATTCATTGACTCCAATAATAAGTTTTAAATTTCTACACATCTTAGTCATCGACTATAGAAATAAAACAAATTTCTAATGATTTAAAGTAGTGGGTAAATCTAAACCATCAATTCTTGGAGTAAGTAGATGCTTACCTTCATTTTTAAGATATGTGTTTTTTTAGAATTCCAATTCAAATATTGTTTGTCCTTGTGCAATTACATATTGTTACTAAATTAGCCCAATAATTCTAACTTGTTTAATAAATTTCTAAATTAGTCCAATTTTTTTTTTTTAAGATTTTAAAAGAATAATACAACATTACAGTTTAATCAATTATATTTTATTTTTCAATTATACATTTATTTATTATTCCTTTTTTCATCTCATATTTCTTCATTCCCTTTTAATTTAATTTTCAATGTAAATCAAATGTTGTGGTTTAGTAAAATTATATGAATATTATATATTTTTTATTATTTCTTAAGTTACATCCATAACCTTAAATAAAGATATAGAAGATGGAATAGTCAAGAAAATAATAAAGTTTTAAATTATTTATCAAAGATAAAGAGTATGATTTATGTGGCAGGTAGCATTAGAAGGTAAAAGAAAAATGCAATTTACTTTAACCAAGCTAAGCCTATATCTTAGGTAGTTGAGCTGAACAAATATATATTATCTCAAATCATGTCTCATTCAATAATACAACCTGAATTAATAGAGAACATGAGTGCACTTAAAACAACAAATATGATAAGTCAAACCAAACATTGGATATAAATAACATTTAACAAACCATCCAATCTTTCTTACATATTCATATCACCAACACTCCACATACCCCTTAGTTCCTAAAACATGTTATCAACAATTAATAAAAACATCTAAATGTATCACTCCAATACTACAAACTAACATGTAAAGACAAGTTGAAATTCATATAACTATATCAAACAAATGATGTTGATCTTGAAACTTGAGACAATGCATCTTCAAACTGATCTTCTTCAATCTTCTCAGAACTCAAGCTTGGTGGAACAAATGATCTGAAAACCATTTCCATGTTGGGAACTTCTTTCAAACTATGAGCTGCAACCTCAAGTGATCTATGTTCAAAAGCAGGATAAAATTTCTTTGCAGTGACAAAACCAAATATTAATGAAAATATTGGTAGAGGAAGCAACAATGGTGCATAGACAAATTTTTGCACCCCAAAGTAGCCAAACATGGTAACTTGGTATAATATCAAAGATGCTAGTATACGGTTGTGGATGTGAGGCCACATTCTTCCATAACTTTCATATGATGGAACATAGACTTTGAGTGCCTGTTCACAAAAAGGATAACATAAAACACACAAAAGATGAAAGTACTAAACAATAGGATTGGGAGAGATGACGCCCCAGTGGACGAGGCTCCTACTTAGTAGGGTCTGGGGAGGATAGATGTACGCAGCCTTACCCCACAAACAGATAGGTTGTTTCCAGGATTTGATCCCGCGACCTCATCTTCACTAAGCAACAACCTTACCGTTGCGTCAAGCTCACCCTCTTCTAAAAGGGTGGCCCAGTGCATGAGGCTCCTACATAGTGGGGCTTAGGGAGGGTAGATGCACACAATCTTACCCCTACAAGCGAAGAGGTTGTTTCCAGGATTTGAACCTGAGACCTCATGGTCACTAAGTAAAACCTTACCATTGCATGTCAAAATCTATACTCTGGCAGAAACTATGATATATATATATATAGAAGTTTAGAAGAAGCTTATAAATTTTCAGATTATAGTTGTTATTCTTTATGTACTAATTGGAAGAAAACCATGTCCACAAAAAATTAGCATAAAACTTGGATTTCATTAAACAAAATTCTAAGAACATTACCTGATTTCGCAGTAGAAGCCATCCTAGGCCAAAATAGAGAGCACCAAATGGGATTATCAGAGGAGCAATAACAGAATAACATAAGACAATTGTGACAATAAGCATGTCATTAGGAACTCTAGTCCCATAACTAAGATCTCCTGGAGACCAAGCATCTTTCAACTCAGCTTCAGTCTTACATAGATACTTTCTCTTCAAATGGTATATAATGAGAGGAACTATTCGGGACAGTTCGAGGCCATAGCCAACGAAGAATCTGAGACAAGCAGAATGAGGAGTACGAGTTACTTTGTGTTGCGTCAAATGTAAATGATAAAAAAGGTGAAATCTTTGTCCCTATGTCTAGTAGGAATAATGCAAAATTTGAGTTTACATGCAAAGTTCATGTTCTACAGATATGCTTTGAAAAACACCAGCTCCTGCTTCAAGTGAATGTAGGAAAAAGATAATAGTAACAAAATGTAGAGTGAAACACTATTTGCAGATATAGTATGACTTCTACATTTCTGCCATCACTAGAAAGTGACTATGCAACCTTTAGCATTTATAGTAAAGAAAATAAATAAGCATTTCAGATAAATATTTGAATTAAATTTAGCTTAAGATGTTAGCTTACTTCAGAGCCACATAAGTCAAGAAAAAAGTAGCATTGCCTGGGAGGCTTTCGGCTAGCATGGGCACAAGTTTGTTAGGGTCCTCCTCAATTTCCTTGAATGTGCTGAACAAGGTGCCACCTATTGTAACTCCAATGAAAACATTGAGCACAGTAAAATAATAGTATTTTCCAGATGCAGCCCTCACTGCATGACTTTCACTTGGGATGCCCTCCAATTTCGACAAAGCCAGAAGCAACTTGGGCAACAAAGCCAAGAAAATAATCAGTGCAAGTTGGGGGAGGTAAGCTTCCAACACTGTCCTCAAAACTTTTATGCGCACAATTGGCTTTATGAACGGGATAAGTTTCACCAAGTTATTCAAAGTTGTAACCGCAGATATGAACGTAATTGGAATCATGTAGAAGAAAATAGTCAACGCGACAATGATATACACGATGTATTGCCGCAGTTCTCTTCCAAAATAGTTGATTTTCAAATTAGGCCAAATTAGTTGGCGTGGTTCAGGAGAATCAAGGACAGACCAATGGTCAACCACGTGTGCATGCAAACTCTGAGCTGCAGATGCTGCAACAACCCTATTTGAGAAAAAGACTATAGCCGCATTTTGCTGCTTTTCTCTAAGAGTGACCTTTTGTTCAGATTCCAATTTGGCAACTAATTCATTAACCTTCTCATTGTAATACTCTATGCTGTCCACCTTTTGACCAAGAATTCCTAGGAAGCCAGTCTTGTTAGTAGGCCTTGTTCCTTCTGGTTTGGCAGTGGTTTTCGACCTGGCATATATTGCTTCAGCACGGACAAGCTTCTTCTTGTACCCTTCTAACTCCTCCCAAACCTTGTTCACCTGTTGGTATTAAACTTAAAGGAATTAAATTATATACTACAACATTCACAGGGTATGTTTTGGAAAGAAACACCATAGACAAATTATATATTTATACAAAATCATTAGATCTACCGCATTCTTTATTAGGTTTCTAAATGTCGCAAGAATCAGAAATTTGAAGGGCAGGTTCCAATGCAAGGCACGAAAACAGAAATAGATAAGATAATCAAGAGGATATGACAAAAAGGAAATGAAATGAACAATGTACCTCTTTGTTGTCTGTTACAATCATGGATCTGTAAAATGTCTCAGGATAGATTGTTTTAAAATATGAGTCAACCTGTTCCTTTCTAGTCCGACCTTCAGGAACAGCTGGTATGTCTCTCACAACTATTGCAAACTGTTCAGGCTTCGGATCAGGAGTCTGAAGTGCCTCCGATCTCAGCAATGTTACATGTTTGTAAGACTTCCATAAGAGGTAAAATGTAACAAGTGAAACCCAATAGCAGGCAATTAAAAATGCCCACAACCTTGAACTCTCTGCCTACATAATACATACAAGAAGTTATTCAGCCTCTGATATTATTATTATATGAAGATACAAAAGAAGCTGGTTAGGTGTTTCCAACAACAACAACCAAGCCTTAGTCTCACTAGATGGGGTCAACCACATGGATCGAATAACGTCATACTATTCTATCTTAAATCATGTCCGACAAAATATTGATCAATAAATATTTCCTAACCGTTTTGCCTATGATTTCTTGGCCACCATCTACCTCTAGAAATTGGACTAACCTCCATTCAATCTACTTTCTTTAACACTTCTAACGGTCTCCTCCATACATGCCCAGACCACCTAATGTGTGATTCTACCATCTTTTCTACAATAGGAGTTACCTCAACTTTCTCCCTATACATTTATTCCCGATATTATCTTGTCTAGTATTTCCACTCATTCAACATAACATTATCATCTCTGCTACATTCACTTTATTCTCTTGTTGACATTTTACCGCCCAATATTCAATCTCATGACATTGCAGATTTTATAGTTGTGTAGTAGAATTTCTCCTTAAGCTAGAGTAGTACCTTTCTATCACATATGATACATGAAGCACTACATCATTTCATTATCCACTTGGATCATATGATTTACATTCTCTCAATTTCACCATCGTGTTATATGATTGACCCAATATACTTAAATCTAGTCACTTATGCTATGGTATGATATTCAATCTTTGCCTCTGTAGTCAGGATTGTCCGCCTCTTGCTAAACTTACATCGATATATTTTGTCTTACTTCGATTTACAAGAGAGTCATATGCTTCTAAAGCTTGTCTCCACATTTCTAACTTTCCATTTAATTCCCCTCTCGATTCTTCCTACCTTCAAAAGTTGTTCCCTTTGAAGATAAATTATGGGACATTACTATCATATGCACAGAACTTATTAGCTGACTAAAAGGAAAATTAACTATAATACTATTGTAAAAAATTAAGATGAAATATTGGTCTTACAGTGATGTTTCCCATTGATAACTGGTCAAGTTCATTGAATGTGCCTTTACTAGTTGTCTGTTTCTTCCTACCATCATCAGTAACAGAAACAGGCAGAAGAACTG